CATAAATGTTTACCAGGGTTATATCCTCTTGTTGGATCGATCCCGTTAGTATTATGTAGTGACCTTTGTTGTCTCTTGTGATGGCCTTTTCAATAATAACCCTAAATGCAAATGGATGAAATGCTCCAATCAAAAGGTGTAGGGTAGCTGAATGGATACAAAAACATGACCCAACTATATGCTTTCTACTAGAGACCCACCTCAAAAAGAAAGACACACATAGGATGAAAGTGAAGGGATGGAAAATTTTTTTTCCATGCAAATGGAAAAGGAAAAGAAAGCTAGAGTAGCAATACTCATATCTGACAAAATAGACTTTAAAATGAAGGCCATCACAAGAGACGACATAGGTCACTACATAATACTAAAGGGATCAATCCAACAAGAGGATATAACCCTGGTAAACATTTATGCACCCAATATAGATGCACTTAAATATATATATATAAAAAAACTTCTAGAGGACTTTAACAGAGAGATTGACAACAATATAGTCAGAGTAGGGGACTTTAACACCCCTCTGACTTCCTTGGATAGATCTTCCAGACAAAAAGTTAACAAGGAAACAGAGACTTTAAAGGACACACTGGATCAAATGGATTTAATAGACATTTATAGAACATTTCACCTCAACACAGCAGAATATACATTCTTCTCAAGAGCACATAGATCATTCACAAAAGTATGGAGTTTCCTCAAAAAATTAAAAATTAAAAATGGAACTTCCATTTGTTCCAATAATCCCACTTCTAGGAATATATCCCAAGAAATCAGAAACACCAATCAGAAAGCATATATGCACCCCTATCTTCATAGCAGCACAATTTACAACAGCTAAGATATGGAAAGAGCCTAAGTGCCCATCAGCAGATGAGTGGATTAGAAAACTGTGGTGCATCTACACAGTGGAATACTACACTGCAGTAAAAAATAAGGAACTCTACCATCTGCAACAGCATGAATGGACCTGGAGAGCAACATGCTAAGCGAAATAAGCCAGTTGGAGAAAGATAAATATTATATGAACTCACTCATCTGTGGAATATGATGAACAGTATAAACTGATGAACAAAAACAGAGCCAGAGGGGAAAACAATACACTAGAATATAATAGAAGTAATCTTGTTATTTGCAGATTTTTAATATTTCCTACAACTTTTGTGATATCATACTATGTTAGTACAGTTTTGGTAACATTATTATACTTAAAACCCTTTTATTCTTGAAATATTAATGTTTATTGTATGCAATCCTATATAATAAAAGGCTAATATGCAAATTGACCAAACAGCAGAGCAACCATCACTATGACGCACACTGACCACCAGGCACAGCCGCACAACACAGGAGCTGCCCCCTGGTGGTCAGTGCACTCCGACGGGGGTGTGCCACTCAGCCAGAAGCCCTGAGCTGGGCTGGAAAGTGCAGCGGCAGTGGTGGGAACCTCTCCCACCGCCGCAGCAGTGCTAAGGATGTCTGACTGCCGGCTTAGGCTCGCTCCCCGCCATCAGTCAGACATCCTCTGAGAGCTCCCGGACTGCGAGAGGGTGTAGGCCAGGCTGAGGGACTCCCCCTCCCTCGAGTGCACGATTTTTGTGCACCAGGCCTCTAGTATTATTATATGTAGGATCATTTTTCTTGAATAATTGGTTTTTATTGCATGCAACATTATCATATTTAAAATCGTTTTTCTTGAGATATTAATGTTTATTGCATGTACCAATATTATATTTAAGATAATTTTTCTTGAAATATTAAGGTTTATTGCATGTAACATTTAAAATCGTTTTTTCTTGAAATAAAAAAAAACTGAAAAAAAGGAAAAATAAAATAAAATAAAAAGAAATGAATACTACTGTCATGACAAGTGAAGAAAGATTACACCATAAACCAGAGCAGAGAGCAAGGCCATGGGATGGGAAGGAAGTTTCCCAGAGAAAGCGATGACAGGGCCAAAATCTGTAGGTTAAGTCAAAGCAAAGAACTGGAAGACTTGAAACACAGCACCCTCACTCTCCAAACTTCTCATTTCTAAGCCTGATGATTCCCAACCTGAATGTGGAACCCAGACATTGTCCTGGGCAGAGACTGTATCTACTCCTCCAGTTACCTATTGCACCTGTTGCCTCCACCCCGCAATGCGCACCGTAATCAACCTCAACACATTTTGCTGAAAAGAACTGAAAGCAACCTTACAAGTCATGCAGATTGCCTGAAGTATTTTAAACATACAGTCCAGCCTGGCTGGTGTGGCTCAGTGGTTGAGCATCAACCTGTGAACCAGGAGGTCATGGTTCAATTCCAGGTCAGGGTACATGCCCGGGTTGCGGGCTCACTCCCCAATATGAGGTGTGCAGGAGGCAGCCGACCAATGATTCTCTCTCATCACTTACGTTTCTATCTCTCTCCACCTCTCCCTTCCTCTCTGAAATCAATGAAAATATATTAAAAAAAATAAATACAGTCCACAGGCAAAAAAAAAAAAAAAAACACAATAAAGCACTGATACATGCTACAAAATAGATGAACTTTGAAAACATTATACCAAATGAAAGAAGCCAAACACAAAAGGCCTCATATTGTATGATTCCACTTATATGCAATGTCCAGAATTGGTTGCCAGGGACTAAGAGGAGGGCCATGGGGGAACAGGGAGTGAATGCTAATGAATATGGGGTTTCTTTCCAAGGTGATCAAAATGTTCTGAGATTAGATAGTAGTAATGGCTGCAACAACCTTGTGAATATACTAAAACCACTAAACTATACACACATAAAATCAGATTTTATGATATGTGAATTACATCTCAAGTAAGAACTCCCACAAGGAGTAAACTAGTACACAATAAATAATTCTGACTTTTTCCCACTAACTTCAGAAGTAGATGGGCTACTGGTGGAAATTTTTAGAACTACTGAAGAAGAGATTTCCTGAGATAAAATCAAGAGAAATAAAGGTATGAGAAGCAACACAAACAATCCATTATACAGCCAGGAAAAGTAGGAGTGAATGGAAACAGAAAAAAAGCACCCAATATTGATGGCTTCTATCTTCAAAGCCCTTTAAACTACAGAAATATTAATTTATTCAATAAATTTAACATGTGTTCAGTGCTTACTACCCATCAAGCACTGAGCTAAACACTCTGTAGGTATCATGTCTTATGTTTAATGCTCACATCAAACCTATGAGGTAGTTACCATTATTATGCTCATTTTCTGGATGAAGAAATAAAAATTTAGAGAGGTGAAGATCAGATGGCTAGGAAGAGGCTTCACAGCCAGGACTGTGCTCTAATGCTATAGGAGTCTAATCAGCATTCTCTCTGTGTACGACAAAGAGAAATAAAGGAAATCCTAAGGCACTACAAGTTGAAAGTTCTGCCTCAGATAGCCAGATTTGCTAGCCCCAGAGCAGTAAGGAACGGAGATAGCTCATATAATTTCTTCACTTTGCCCCTGATAACCACCCAGGCTCTATTTCCCAAGCTGCTACCCAAAATTAAATTTTTACTGTTGTATTTCTCCCCTTGAGGAATTACCATCTTAGTGTGGGACGTCGCACTAGGCAGCTGTTGAGAGAACCACATCAAGAGAGGAGAGGATTTGAAGGGATACACAGACAGCTGACACAGACACATTAAGAATCTCACACCATCACACTGCTTTCATGGCCTTGATAGTTCATTAAATCAAGTTGGCTAAAGAGAAGCCAAACCATTGCCAAGAAGTGACCTCGACAAAGAACAGGTCCTGAGGCACAAGCAACAGCAGACCATTATGGAACAGACAAGGCCCAAGGGCAAGTAATGAGGCCTGGCTGTCTTCCTCAGCCTCGTATCACCACTCCTCCCTACCCAGCACACTAGTCAATTCATCAATCAAAACCTACCCAGTGCCTACTATGTGCCTACCTCTACACCACGTGGTGAAAATAAACTGGAGCAAAAGACAAACAGAGCCCGGCCGGCGTGGCTGTGGCTGAGCATCGATCTATGAAGCAGGAGGTCAACGTTCGCCGGGCCAATTCCCGGTCAGCGCACATGCCCGGGTAGTGGGCTCCTTCCCCAGTGGGGGGCGTGCAGGAGGCAGCCGATCAAGGATGCTCGCTCATCAATGATGTTTCTCTCTCTCCCTTTCCCTTCCTCTCTGAAATCAATAAAAAATATTTTTTTAAAAAAAAGACAAAGAGCTCTGATTCTCCCAGTTTATTGTGATGGAGCAAGTACTAAGTACCCTCTATTGAACAGGTAAGTTTTCACTCACTAAACGCCAACAGCGCCTCCTGGTCTAAAGCAGAAGCAGGGTTCCTCAACCTCAGTGCTAGTGACATTTTAGGTCGGAAAAGTCTTTGTTGGGGAAGGCTGTGCCGTCACGGTAGGATATTTCGCAGCACCCACCCTTGACTTCTAACCACTAGGTGCCCGGGGCAATCTCTGAGGTGAGATCATCAGAAAATCTGCGGACGGGGCCAAAGACCCCGTGGGGAGCAAAACGGCCCCGCTCGGAAGCTCCAGCCGAGAGCCCTCACAGGCGCTCCCGGCCCCCCACAACTCTCAGCTCAAACTTCAGCAGGAAAGGCTCCCTGCCCTTGCAGGCTACATCCGCAACTTGGATTCCGTCTACTTTCTCCCGGGACTGCGCGCCGCCTGAGGGCACGGACCCTGCTTCCCGCCGTCCAACTGGCCCGGGCCTGAGGCCCTTCACTCAGGCACAGCGACTGCTGTGGCGGGAATGACGACGGAGCAGAAGGCCAGGCGAGAAACTCCAAGGGGCGTGTGTGTGGGGGGCATTATTTTAGGAAACCCAGCTAAGAGACCAAGGCGGACGGCGTCGGTCCTATGCGCATGCGCTTTCGCTCAGCCGCGCCATCCCCGCCTCTCCCCGCCCCCCCTTCCGAGAGGCAGATAGGTCGTGCGTGTCTGAGGCTTCCCCAAGGCTCCCCAAGGTGGGGTAGGGATTGTCAACCCGACGGACGTCCCCGAGGGGAGGAGGACTTACGTGGGCCTGAAAGCGGGCGGCGAAATACCTCACTCAGGGACACCAACTGCGGCCACCACGTCGGCCACCGGCTCCGAATCCCTCCCTCGCTTCCCTAACGGCCGTTGCACGCCCGCCTGGCCGCGCGCCTCAGAGCGCGCCTCCCCGGCCCCACCCCTTCTGCGCGCCTGTGGCCAATCAGGAGCCGGGCCGCGCCGGTGTCCCGCCCCTGCACGCTGCCCTGGGTTCCGAGAGCGGACGGATCTTTCTGCGCATGACCCCGCCGCCCCAGCCAGCCCGCAGTTCTGCCCCTGGCGCGGGTCTCGCCTCTGGGCGGAGTCCGGCTCCCCGGGGCCTGGAGTAGCTTGCTGGGCATGGGGCAGGAGAAGCTGGCGGCCAGGACAAATCTTTCCGGAATCCCATTCAACCTGCCCTTCCCTCCTCCCGTTCCCCACTCCTGAATGGTACTCCCACCTGAAAATAGGGCGTGGGTCACTGCTCACACGTCAGGGTTAGGGCTGCTGCGGCTGGGGTCAGGGCTTGGGGTCAGTGGTCAGTTTGTGACCAGGACTCAGGTTGAAGGATCAAGCTTGCCTTCCTACCCAAATTCAGTCCCCAGGAAAAGGAACTAAGTTCATTGCATTAATAGATATTTAAAAGTCATACTTGGAAATTGTTTAAAGAAGGAACAAAACCATCAGCCGAAGGATAGTGAAATCCCAGGGTGTCTGGAAACCTGACTTAGGAGGGAGAGACATTAAAAAGCTGTGTGATTTTTTTTTTTTAACTTTGAAGAACCAGACTAAAGAACTTTAATTACTGGATCAAATTCACTCTAGAGAGTGGTTCTCAACCGTCCTAATGCCGCGACCCTTTAATACAGTTCCGCATGTTGTGGTGACCCCCAATTTCATTGTTACAAATTGAACATAATTAAAGCATAGTGATTAATCACAAAAACAATATGTCATTATATATGTGTTTTCCAATGGTCTTGGGCGACCCCTGTGAAAGGGTCGTTCCACCCCCAAAGGGGTCGCGACCCACAGGTTGAGAACCGCTGCTCTAGAGGAAGGAATCTGGGATGTGCTCCAGGGTTCTATCAGCGCCCTCATATTTTTAGAAAATAGAAGGGCCCTGGCCGGTGTGGCTCAGTTGGTTGAGCATCCTCCCATGCACCCAAAGTCCCTGGTTTGATTCCTGGTCAGAACATATGTCCAGGGTTTTGGACTCGATCCCACATTGGAGTGCGTGCTGGAGGCAGCTGATCATGTTTCTCACAGAGATGTCTCCCCCCTCCACCCCCCCTCCCGTCCCATCTCCCTCAATGGAAAAAAATATCCTTGGGTGAGGATTAATTAGAGTTAATGCTTTTGCCAAAAGGGCTATTTAAAATCTACTCCAGACCTGTAAAGTTAATATGATTTCCCATGGCAGGATAGGCCAATACCCTGGACCGCCGTCCTACCCTTCTCTCCCTAGTCCCACCCTCAGGGTGACCGCTTAGCTGGGCGTCTGGCTCCCTGGGCAGGCAGTGGCCACAGAGCTGCAAGGTGGAGGCTGCAGCGATGGCCAGGAACCCTCCCTCCCCCAACCTGAGCTGTGTGTTCACCGGCTGGCCGGGCCGAGCATCTCGCTGCTAGTCACACAGGGTCACTCGGCTGTGCAGGTAGAGCCCATTGCTGTTGAAGGCCAGCATCACCTCCAGAGAAGCCTCTGTTGCCCTGCAGGCCCCAGAGCAGCCGGTTGCTGACTGTGGGGAGACGCAGCATCACCCATTGCTAGGAGCCTGGGCTTGGGGTCCTCAGTGTGGATGGACAAACATTGATTTCCCTTTATGTGCTTGTCCCTGTGTGATTGTAGATGCTGGGTCTCTTGCTGAGAACTTTGCATACATTATTTCGTATCAGTCCTAGAAGAAAGACAATACTTTTGCCCTCTTCCTTCTCTTTTTTAAAAATATATTTTTATTGATTTCAGAGAGAAGGGAGAGGGAGAGATTGAAACATCAATGATGAGAATCATTGATCGGCTGCCTCCTGTATGCCCCCTCTTGGGGGTTGAGCCCGCTACTGGGCATGGGTCCTGATCAGGAATTGAACCTTGACCTCCTGGTTGATGAGTCGATGCTCAACCACCAAGCTACATTGGCCGGACAACATTGTTCAATTTTTACCTTGTCTGATTAAGGTGCTGCTCCAATGAGCATTGGTTCATTGAATCTTCACAACTAATCTGAGTAAAGACTATTATTTCTAGGATGTGAGGGCGATCTGGCTGCGACATCTGTCACCCCATTGATCGCCAGGGTTGATTCGGCTGATCTGGCTGGCTAGGCGGGTGTCCCCCTCCTCCCTCACCGATCCATGTGCGTCCCTCCCGAAGCTGCGCGCTCGGTCGAAGAGGACGACCTTCCCCCCCCCCCCCCCCCCCCGAGGAGAGGACCGGTCTTCGGTCAAGGGTATACGAGTAGCTGCGCTCCCCTGCTAGAACCTCCAAACAAGCTCTCAAGACTATTATTTCTATTAAGCAAATGAAGAAACAAAGGTTTAGATAGGGGAAGACATCTATTCAAGGTCACACAGCAGGAAGTGGTCCATCAGACCCCAGAGCCCAGTGTCTTCTTTACCATGCTGCACTATCTCACAAAAATACAGCCTCATTCTTATACCTGAGCCAGCCACTCTGGAGAGAGAGAGAGAAGGGTCCAGCTCAGCACAGAGCCTTCCTCTTTTCCCTGGACAATGGGGCAGAAATAGGTCCATCACCTGATACCCTTACATTGCATCCTTGACTGTTGTCAAAGGTCTAATTCAGTAGACTAGTGACCCAACCCAGGTGACAGGCTCTTCATTCCCACAACCTAGTTCTGAGGAGGCACTGACCCTTGTCCCCAACCCTGCCCCGGTCTTGCACCCACTCCTTCCGCACCCAACTTTCTTGAAGCTCTGTGCAGAGTTAAAGGGATTGCAATAGGGCAGAAGAGCTGGCTGGGATGCATGGAGAGAGTAAGGGGATCTAGGTTCTAGACCTGGGTCTATTACTGACTCACTGTGTGATTTTAAGGAACATCCCACCCACCTCAGTGCCTCCATGTCCCCCTCAGCGCAGTGAAGGACTTGTGCTCCACATTGGAAGAGCCTTCTATACTCTGGTGACCAATGGGTCTGTTTGCTACAAAAGTCCAGGCTGAAATAAACAGATGTTTGCTATAAGGGTTTCCATTTTTTATTTGCAAGGAGAGATGTTTCCATTGGATCTAATTTTGTTTTGTTTTTTTCTCCCGTGTGGTCAACCAGTTGTCTCTGCCTCCTTACAGAAAAGTCCATCTTTTCCCTACTGACTTGCCATGCTATCTGTCATTATGTATCCAGATGGATTTTCATTCCCTTTCTTTCATTCCACCTGTTCACTTGTCTATCCCTGCACTAACACCATGTTATGTTACTGTTACTTTAATGTAAATCTTAGACTCCCATCTTGTTCTTCAGAATTATCTTGGCCATGTGGGCCTTTTGATTTTCCTTATATATATTAGAATCTGCTTATCGAGTTGTGATTTTGATGGGAATTATGCCACAATTGTAGATTTGGGAGAATTGACATCTTTATGATACCGAGGTTTCCTGCCCACAGCAGCTCCTTTGAGAAGCCATGGAGTATGGCCTGGGCTCTGAAGTCAGACCTGTGATAGGATCCTAGCTCTGTGATGGGGACAAATCACTTCATGTTTCTTTTTTTTTTAATCCTTTCTTTTTTTATTTTTTATTAAATCTTTATTGTTCAGATTATTACATTTGTTCCTCTTCCCCCCCCCCCCATAACTCCCCTCCTTCCAGTTGCCAGCCCACCCTCCGCCCTCACTCCCCACCCACTGTCCTCATCCATAGGTGCACAATTTTTGTCCAGTCTCTTCCCGCATCTCCCACACCCCTTTCCCCCCCAAGAATAGTCAGTCCATTCCCTTTCTATGTCCCTGATTCTATTATAACTAACAGTTCATTCTATTCATCGGATTATTTATTCACTTGATTCTTAGATTCACTTGTTGATAGATGCATATTTGTTGTTCATAATTTGTATCTTTACCTTTTTCTTCTTCTTCCTCTTCTTAAAGGATACCTTTCAGCATTTCATATAATACTGGTTTGGTGGTGATGAACTCCTTTAGCTTTTCCTTATCTGTGAAGCTCTTTATCTGACCTTCAGTTCTGAATGATAGCTTTGCTGGATAAAGTAATCTTGGTTGTAGGTTCTTGGCATTCATCACTTTGAATATTTCTTGCCACTCCCTTCTGGCCTGCAAAGTTTCTGTTGAGAAATCAGCTGACAGTCGTATGGGTATTCCCTTGTAGGTAACTGAGTTTCTTTCTCTTGCTGCTTTTAAGATTCTCTCTTTGTCTTTTGCTCTTGGCATTTTAATGATGATGTGTCTTGGTGTGGTCCTCTTTGGATTCCTTTTGTTTGGGGTTCTCCGCGCTTCTTGGACCTGTAAGTCCATTTCTTTCACCAGGTGGGGGAAGTTTTCTGTCATTATTTCTTCAAATAGGTTTTCAATATCTTGCTCTCTCTCATCTTCTGGCACCCCTATAATTCTGATGTTGGTACGCTTGAAGCTGTCCCAGAGGCTCCTTACACTATCTTCGTATTTTTGGATTCTTTTTTCATTTTGCTTTTCCGGTTGGGTGTTTTTTGCTTCTTCACATTTCAAATATTTGACTTGATTCTTGCGCTCCTCTGGTCTGCTGTTGGGAGTATGTATAATATTCTTTATTTCAGTCCGTGTATGCTTAATTTCTAGTTGGTTCTTTATCACAACATCGAGGGTCTCATTAGATTTCTTGTAGATCTCAATAAGTTTATCGGCGGCTTCTAGACAGTTCTTGAGAGACCTTCAAAGTGTGGTTCTGAATTCTATATCCTCCATTGACAATTTTGTCCTGTTTCTTTGTCTCCGCATTTTTTATGCTTTCTTGGTGCACCCCCTAGTGGTCTTTGTGCGCAGTCTTGTTGTAGTTAAGCCTTGATTGTTGTAGTTAATACTGGGGGGATTTGACCTCCAGGCCAACTGGCTGTGAGAATCAGCTGTGTCTGCAGTGGGAAAACTTCTGTCCTCTGGGGAGGTGCTAATCTAGCCTTTGCCTGAGGCTAT